ATGGTGAATAAGGAAGAGGTAAGAAAATGTGTTAAAGAAGAGATTGAAAAAGTAGAGGAGAATGAAGTGAAAATAGAAGATTTAGAAGAAGAAAGTGCTAAAAAAATAGGCAAAAGTTCAAGTTGGTAAGTTAACACTTTCAGGTATGGTTACAAATTCCACCTTGAAAGAAGTTATATTTGACTTATTTAATGAAATTATTACTTCTTCATATTCATCAAATAATGCTTATTTTGTGGAGAATGATGAACTTCTCTTAAAGAAATTTGTTCCAATTAATTTTGAGATTGAAGCTAAAGGCGAGAAGAATTTTTCGAATTATTTTTTACAAGATAGTTCGGAGAATTTGGTAACTGATACAGGTTGGGTGAATATGGAGTCATTTTTTTATTCCAAAGAAGAAGCACATAAGAAGTTCAAGAAGTTTCAAGAATTCAGGAAGAGAGAAAACGAATGGTGCGCCCATGTGAAGAAGATAAATGTTAATCATAGGCGGGCATTATTCAAGCATTTGAAGAAGTTTCACTAACCCTACACATCAATGGAAATGGCCAAGAAGAATGAAAATATTGAAGGAAGTGGAATTGAAGACCATCCATCGAACCTTTGATCAAGCTCCCAAGATTTAAAAAAAAAAAAAATCAAGTTTAAAGGGAGGTGTTGAAAAATAAAATTGATTTTAGTATTTAATTAATCATTTTAAGTATTTGTCTTACATAGTGTATGTGGGCATTTAGCATGTTAGTGGATAGTAAATTATCTTAATGAGAATTAGTATATGAGAGTTAGTGTGATGATGAAGGTTATGTAAAACCAAGGGTCATGGGAGTTAAGTCTAAATGGTTATGCTAGTAGGAATTAAACCTCCTTAATACCATGTTAGTGGGAGTAGTGGGAGTTAAGCCTAAAAGTTATGTTAGCGTGTGTAATTGGGCATTGAAATGTAATTGATTATATATGTCTTAGAGCCATGTGCTATACCTATTTTAAGTAAGTAGAAATGGAATAAAATAATTTTTCAAGTATTCCTCCATATCCTCTTCTCTTCCTAAATATTATAGTATTTTGTGTGCATATCTAGGCCACTATTTCTAACAAAGTGGTATCATAGCAAAAGCCAACAACATATGTCACAAATTAATTGTTTCATTTGAAAAGTTAAAGCAAAATAAAAATTATCTTAATTTTATATTTAAAAAATTTCCTCAACTAATAAAGGATATATGAAGGGGTATAAGTTTATAATATAAATATATATGTGCATATGTTATTTGTATATTCTCATCAAGCGTTCCTAGGTTGTGTTTCTTGAAGTGTTGCATGATAAATGTTATTAATTTTTTTTTTTTTTTTGGTCAAAATTAAAAAATTTATTTTGAGGAAAGAACAATATTAGCTACAAGAGGGAATTAGATTTTCTTGCAAAAGCTTGAAATTTTAATGAAAAGAGGTTTTATAATTTCTCCAATTATTGCTTTTACTTGGTGTGCATTACGAGAACAAATGGAGAATTTTCTATAAGTTGACAAGTGACCACATGTTTTATAGTTTTTTCAATAAGTTGACAAGTCTTCTGCTCTCTTTTTTCCATTCATAAAGAAAGTACTAGTAAAATATGCTAATAAGAACAAGTGGAGAATTTTTATTATTGTCTATTAGCAGGAGATAACATATATATCCTAACTCTTATGTTTACTCTCTCTCTCTTTTCCCTCCCCCTCTCTGTCTCTATATATATATATATAAATATATATTCAGATTATTAGCAACGACAAGTTTAAAAGTGTGCAACACAGGGTGCTGGCTCAACCGGTGGGACCAAGGGTATCAGTGGCATGTTTCTTCAATCCAAGTAGTAGGTTTCAGTCTAGGCCTTTCGGACCCATAAAGGAGCTTCTGTCCGAGGAGAACAACCCATATATAGAGATTTACTTTGCAGTGAATACTATCAATATTACAAGACCAAGGGAACAAATGTTATCTCAGCCCTTCCTCATTATAAGCTCTAGACAAGTACTTAACCATATATATATATATATATATATATATATATATATATATATATATATGTTGCTGGTTAATTACAGAAAATCATAAGTTTTTAATTAAATAATGCTGCTCAGTTTCCAGATGATGATAATAATTAATAACGCTTGAAAAAGTCGTTATAAATGGTCTGTAATAAAAGTATTGCTCATTGTGACAATGTTTGTGGCAGATATATATATATATATATATATATATATATATTTTATGTTGTAATAATAATACTGCTCATTTTCATCTGCAATGGTAGTACTATCTAATTTGCTGGATTACAATTTCACTATTAGTTTTTAATGATGTATGTGCATGGTTTTGTTTACAACAAATGTGGTGAAACCAAAACTGTAACAGAAAAAACTAACAAAAAAATAAACATCTATGTACCATATACAAAATATAAAGATTTATGTTGTTCAAAGTAGGCAAAAGATTTTAATAAAGAGGTTACAAGTTTTAATTCCAATTCTCTCTCCATGTCAAAAGCGTCTTTTAGCGTTCTGTCATGTCACACACACTAAATAATATACTATATAATAAGCTACATGGGTTCAGAAAATAATCGACAGCCGAGAAAAGGGTCAAACAAATCGACAATGTGATCGGGGCTGAAACAAATTTTGGACCACATTTTCACAAGATATGGACCACATTTTCACAAATATTGAGGACGCAATGAACCTTCAAATGAGAGAGAAATAGCAGTCTCTGATGATGATGGGCAGATTGTTGACTAGCATGAAGTAGGTACCAATAAAAAATTCTCTCCAGAAGCGGGATTCTATTCAATAAGCTACATCGACAAAACACCGGGCGAATGAAATGAGGTAGATATACAAAAAAAATTTATTTTAATTATTACGATTTAATTCTCTCTCTTTAAATTTTCACTAACTTGGTCGTTAAAGGGTCTACGGCCGGCACCACACATTACCTCACTCTACCGTCTTTATTTTACAGGAAACATTGTTGTACCACAACATTATTATACACATATATATATATAATATGTGTATATGTATGAAAATCATCAATTCAATAATCAATGCAGGTAAAACAGAAAATCATCAATTCAATAATCAATGTAGGCAGGCTAGTGCTTTCTTTTATTTATTTATTTATTTTTTAAAACCACTTCCTTATGCAATTTGCATTTTTAAACACTTCTTTCATTATTCCCAAACACAACCTATCACCATGTGAATATGTGATCTACATTTTGGTGATTCTTACGAATCTCGAACCAGCCAGAATGCTAGATGATTTGATACAAAATCATTTTGATCACATGGGATAGATATGTAATGGGTTTGTTACTGCTGCTTTCTGATTTGGTTTCAAAATTTCAGACCATTAATCAAACAACTCCTGTTTTGACGGACTGGTTTAATATTAGTGGGGGATAACGTATTGGAAGTAATGAAGAAATAAAGATAACTTTGAATTTACAAGGTTAAAGAAATTTATAGAGAATTTTAATATACTATTGATAACAGTACATGTATTTATAAATAAATAACTCTAAGAAATCCTGAAAGCATAAAGAAACTAGTCGTATAAGAAATTGTTCAAAATCAACTTCTCTCCTAAAAATAAAGTAAAAAATCTAATTGGTAAAAATTAGAATCGTTCTTTCTGTCTTAGTGATTTATTCTGGGTATTTTCTTGTTGGGCTGGGCTGGGCTTGACTGGCCATGTTTTAGGTTATTTCAGGCCAACTTACTGTTGGGTCCTTATGTTTGTACAGTTGCTTTTCATTCAATAAATTGTTTTACTCTTTATTAAAATAATAATAAATAACTTAGCTAATCTAACATGATAAAACAAATTGCAAAGGCTTTCAAAGTAGGAGAGTTGAACACTACCTATATTTATTTAACCAATATCTCCATCTTTACCTTACCACTTGAAATATTTATTTCCAATTACCAGCCGAAAGTACCAAGATATCTATGGGTTATTGTGATAGGTGTCCTAGTCTGACAAAATTTTATGATAATTATCATTAATTAAAACTAGAATTTTTTTGACAGATTCATGTTTTAAGTGATATCCAAAAACTCTATTTTCTAGATATTTCTGGTTCAATTTAAATCACCAAATACTTAGAACTAAAGATAGAGAGTTTGGATGCACCTGTGTGACTCGACTATCAAAATAAAAAAGTTAAATTCTCCAATTAATTTATTCAGTGAGTAAATCATTTTCTGTTTTTTTTTTTTTTTTTTTTTTTTTTTTTTTTAAATCCCCCTATTAATATATTAAGTGAGTAAATAATTTTCTTTTTTTTTTTTCTTTTTCTTTTTTGCCCTTTTCATTAACTAAATTCATAAACCAAACGAATCGACACAATGTTCTTAATTTTAAGTTCAAAAGAAAAGGGAAATGGTTTTCTTTTGATTCTGTTGTTCTCTGTGTCCCCCTACTTCTAGATGCTTAATATTTATTGGTCCCACAAGTATATATATGCACATGCTTTTCACTCACTCTCTTTTTGAAATATTCCATTTTTGTTGACGGCACAAGAAATTATACAATAATACGTCTACCTGTATCCTTAAGCTTTTTATATTATTGGATCATTTATTAAAGGAGTTCACTGTTAGACTCGGAATACCGAGATTCTATAAATTTTCATGATTTTTCCACGTTGAGGAAATCGGAATTTTCTGAGCAACCATCCACGCTCTTTGGCCTATATACTAAACCTATCTGTGTCCTCTGATGAAAAGCTGAAGAATATAATTGTCATTATATATATATATATATATATATATATATAATATATGCAGGCACACATTTTCATCAAGATCCCCGAGTAGGTTGATCATCTGTCTTGGCGTTTATATATATTTATATAATTTTCAGGTGCTCTACAGGCTACAGCCCCATTTTGTTGACTAAGGTTGAAAGTAAAATTATATTTACAGCATCATATAATTATATGGATCTGAAAATTGTGAGGATACACTATACAGGGTGTAAGACTGTACTGAACTAGAGATTGCGAAGACCAACATTACATGCATCTTGATATACATAATAATAATAATAAATTCAAGCGTCATGTGATGATTGAAAGAAACAAAAAAAAAGGGCTCAAAGCCAACCTCCGTTGAGCTTTAGGTTCTTGGAATTCAGAGTTTGTCTGCTGAGGGTGGATGGATACATGTTGAGTAAAGGCCAAAAAAAAGTGACTCATTTTTTACTATCTTGCCCTTGGGAGTTGGTTTCAAATTTTTACTCTTCAAGCACTATATAATGGGATGCACTTAAGTCACCTATTTCATGCATTCAGTATAAACAGCTGCTATACCTCTGCATATACACCTAATCACTGTAAAAACACCCCCACCCACACACACAAACTTTAACTATGGAAATTGTCTCCAGCAATGGACATTACAGTTGGGCCGAAGAAGTGAAGGAATTCGACCAAACCAAAGCCGGCGTGAAGGGACTTGTAGATGCCGGCGTGATGAAGATCCCCAGATTCTTCGTCCACCCACCTGAGAGTCTTCACTGTCCATTGCCAACCGATAACACGAGCACCATTGAACTCGAGTTCCCCACGATAGACCTACGAGGCATTGAGTGTGGCGGTGCTCGGAGAAAGGAGGCTGTGGATGGAATTCGACAGGCAGCCTCCACGTGGGGTTTCTTTCGGATGGTGAATCATGGAGTGCCAATGAGCATGATGGAGGCCATTTTAGAAGGTGTCCAGCGCTTCCACGAGCAACCGGTGGAGATGAAGAGGGACTTGTATTCCTCCGATAGTAGCAAGAGAGTGAGGTTCAATAGCAATGTTGCTCAACGTGAACTTGATGCTGCATGTTGGAGGGATCTGTTAACTTGTGTTTTTCAAGATGATACATTGGACCCTGAAGCTATTCCTCTGGTTTGCAGGTACTTATAATTTCATTTTACATTCTATCTTTTTGCATGCATCATAGAATGAGTATTAGTCCAGTTCTCGAGGTTGGGTGTTCTAATCCTGTTAGGGACAATATTGTGAATGTACTAATTTTTCTTAAATTTCAGGGTGAAAAAAACTAATGATATATATTAATCTTGTATATATCTAGATCATTAATTGCTTTCTTTGTAAATCTGGATTTGCAGAAAAGAAGTACAGGATTATGTGAATTGCATGATCAAACTGAGGGAGACAATGGCCGAGTTACTATCAGAGGCTTTAGGGCTAAGCAGTGACTACCTTTCACGCTTAGAATGCATGAAAGGTGAATCATTGGCATGCCTTTATTATCCAATTTGTCCAGAGCCAGACTTGACCTTGGGCACCGCCAAACATTCAGACACCACTTTCCTAACTCTACTCCTGCAAGACAACACCGGTGGTCTACAAGTTTTTCATCAAAATCAATGGATTGATGTGGCTCCTGTCCCTGGAGCTATAATAGCAAACATTGGAGATCTCATGCAGGTATATATGTGTTTTTATCTCGATCAACTTAATTCATTTGCAGCCCTAAGTGTTCAGATCTTTGAAGTAGTTCAATACTTACTAACTCCTTCTAATTTAATTTTGTTTGCTCTATAATTTCAGATTATTAGCAATGACAAGTTCAAAAGTGTGGAGCATAGGGTGTTGGCTCAACCAGTGGGACCAAGGGTATCAGTGGCATGTTTCTTCATTCCAAGTGGTAGGGCTGCATCTAAGCCTTTCGGACCCATAAAGGAGCTTCTATCCGAAGAACAACCACCTTTATACAGAGAGTTACTTTGCAGTGAATACTATCAATATTACAAGACCAAGGGAACAAATGTTACCTCAGCCCTCCCTCGTTATAAGCTATGACAATTTAATCGTTGCTAGTAATTGCAGAAATAATATGGGTTAATTAAATAGTGCTGCTTAGTTTCCAGATGAACAATAATAATTAATAATGCTTGAAAGTCATTATAAATGACCTGTAATAGTAGTACTGCTCATTTTGACACTGTTTGTGGAAGTGTTTTTTTTAAATTTATTTATCTGAAGTTGTAATAGTAGTATTGCTCATTTTGATATGTATGTAATAGTAGTACTTCTCGTTATAGTTTCACTGTAAGCCTTCTTTGTCATCCACTAATTTCACATATCATTTCACCCCTTTCACGAGTTTGTGTTTAGGGTAAATTACAATGACATTTTAAGAGATTTGACAAATTATCACATGGAGTGAAATTTGTTTTTTGACTTCTACTCAAATTATAAATGTTTGATCCATTTTTTTAATAACACCATAAATGTCACTTTTTCATATTGCGAATGTGTGCTTTTGACATATAAAATAACATTTTCACCCTTTTAACTTTTTGTTTACTTACAAAAAGGTTTTTCATGTATAAAATGACTTAACTAGCCCTATACCAGCGCTCCTACTAAGAGTGCTGGTGTTAGTTCACCTATAGCAGCGCTTTTTAAAAGAGCGCTGGTACGATTGCACCTATACCAGCGATCTTTCAAAAGCACTGCTATGATTACACCTATACCAGCGCTTTTTAAAAAAGCGCTAGTAATATGGTGTAGTGACTACCTCCCATATGACTTATTTTAAGTGACCAAAAGTGTTCAATGGATTGAAAGGCCTTACCCAAAATAATAATAATAATAATAATTCTAAAAAAATTCTAAAAAATTTGTGGATGGAGGTAGAAGGAGATGGCATGTGGTGGTGTGGATGGAGTTGATGAGATGGTGGTGGTGGTGTTGGAAGGAGACGGCGAGGGGCAATGGTGGAGTGACAATTTAAAAGAGATTTGTCTGTGTGTGACAGAGAGAAATGGAAAGTATGTGGTGGTTTGAATAGTGGAAGGTTGAATAGAGAGGGTTTTGATGCTTTTAGTCTTTTTGATACAATCCTGTTTATATTTTATCTTTGAAATATTCACCCGATCTTAAAATAAGTGTCCGCATTTTCATATTTAGCTCAGGATTCTGGAGAAAACTTCTCAAGTTGAGATGTATGGCTAGGGGTCTTGTTAGGCAATGATTGGGGGTTGGAGATTGCACAAGGATGTGGTTGGACTACTGGTTACCAAATGGCCCCATTGATCACTACAGCTTGGGCTCATTGATATGAAAATTCGTCAACTGGATCCTTAAGTCAAGCCTAATTTCCAATAATCAGTAAGAAATTCCAAGCTCACTACAGCATATCCCTTTTTTCCAGAGCCAAGCTTTCATTACACAGCTTCAGAATATTTCTCCCCCCCCCCCCCCCCCCCCAACATCCAATGCTAATGATCAAGTAGAATGGCTTCCAAGCACAACCAGTGACTACTCACTTAGACTTTACTTTGGAGTATTTCACTCCTCCCTCATTAGTCTTTGCTTGAGACCATCTCATTTGATTTAAACACGTACCATATCCCAAAGCATAGATACATTGTATGGCTAGCACTCAAAGAGAGATTATCCACTCTGGACTCCAAGCCAATGTTAAAGAAACATGCACTACACCAATGCCTGCTACCTATGTCTTACAGATGAGGAATTAGTGGATCAAATTTTCTTTAAATGTCAATTAATACAACACTATCATTGGGATTTCATCCAACACGCAGCTGGATTCTACACCAAGCCTAATAGTTGGAGAGATTTGATTGCTTGGTGTTCATCAACATGGACTCAAGATCACTTCATCACTCACAAGCTGCTGTTATCATGTGCCATTTATTTCATTTGACATGAGAGAAATGCAAAAGCCTTTAGAAACAGGTCAACTACAGCTAACCAAATTATTCGCTTCATTAAGGGATGCATCAGAGCAAAATTTGCTTCTCTTAAGCCAAAGAATGGTGCTTGATTCTGTTTGTTTCATATTTTGGACCCTAATGTGTTGTGTTTTCCACTATAGTGTTGTTTGCTGTATGACCTGTTTGCTCAGCCTTAATTGGTTAGCTGTGGTTTTCATGTGCTGCCAAGGAGAATGTTCCTTGGGCTGGTCTCACTTGTTGGACTATCTTTGTACATATTATTTTCCTTTTATAATGCTTATCCATTTAACCAAAAAAAAAAAAACACATGTGCTGGCTCAACCAGTGGGACCAAGGGTATCAGTGGCATGTTTCTTCAATCCGAGTAGTGGGTTTCAGTCTAAGCCTTTCGGACCCACAAAGGAGCTTCTGTCCGAAGGACAACAACCGATATATAGAGATTTACTTTGCAGTGAATACTATCAATATTACAAGACCAAGGGAACACATGTTATCTCAGCCCTTCCTCGTTATAAGCTCTGACAAGTACTTAACCATATTTATATATATATATATATATATATATATATATATATATATATATTTCTGGTTAATTACAAAAAATCATAAGAGTTTAATTAAATAATGCTGCTCAGTTTCCAGATGATAATAATAATTAATAACGCTTGAAAAAGTCGTTATAAATTGTCTGTAATAGAAGTACTGCTCATTGTGCCCTTGTGGCAGATACACACACACACACAGATATATAATAGTGAAATTGTAATATAGCAAATTATATAGTACTACCATTGCAGAAGAAAATGAGCAGCATTATTATTAAATCATAAAAAAAGATATATATGTTTATCTTTAGGATTAGTTTATTTTAAACTTATAGTTAGTTGGGTTATCTATAGATTAGTTTATTTTGAATTTATAGTTAGTTGTGATAGCGTTGTAATGCAAGTAAAATACTTATATACAGGAGTTTGTTTTTATCTTTTATTCTATAAATAATCAAAGAGGCATGCTGAGATTGAGGTCCAGCACCCTCATAATCATTTTATTATTATTGTTGCTTTCTCAAGCATTTTCCCCTCAAATAGCATCCTTGATATCTCTATCTCTCTCCCTCTCTATTTCAGTCTGGTTCTATTTCTCTCCATATATCTCTCTGTCTATTTGTTCTCCCTATCACTTTCTATATTTATATTTTCTCCCCTTTCTATTATTAAATTATTACTATATATTATTCACCACTGGAAGGGCATCTTGAACTTCCATATCCACATTATTTCGAAGTTAAGCTTGGCAGCACTGGTTTACCACACTTGGACTGAACGAAATAGAAGAATCTTTCAAAAGAAAGCCATCACAGCCAACGCTCTGCTCCACCAAACTCTGGAATCAATTAGGAGCAAACTTCTCACTTCCACAATTAGAGATATTCCTAATGCATCAAGGATTGCAGAAGAATGGGACATCCCTATCACCATAATCCATCCACCACTTCCTCCACCAGAGCCTCCGGATCAGGCACTGTGATGATAATTTGATTGGAGTTGTTTCTCCTTTGTACCTGAATTTGGGGTCGTCTTTACGGTCTACCATTGTTTGATCTCACTCCACTATGGGCCTAATTCATGGGCTATCTTTTTCTCTTATGTATGTTTGTATGTTCTTGTGGGCTTGGCCCATCATCCATCTGGTTACCTATTGCTAGCCTTGTATCCTCCTTTCTTCAATGAAATTTATCTTTATCTTTCAAAAAAAAGTCTTTTTTTCTCCCCTTTCTATTATTAAATTATTACTATATATTATTCACTGATAAAGTCCTTTTAAGTAAGGCAATTAGAACTCAAAGAAGAGTTATATTTGTTCTCTTTCTCTTCACATCGCCTGATAGTTAATATTCTTAAAGAGACTGCAGTTGACAACTCACACTCGAACCATATAGTTGATTCTGATACGCATGCACCACATCAAATCTGAATTGGATCCAAGGCGACGATTTTAGCGTCAACAATATGAAAATCATCAATTCAATAATCAATGCAGGTAAAACAGGCTAGTGCTTTCTTTTATTTATTTATTTTATTTTATTTATTTATTTTATTTTTTTAAACCACTTCCTTATGCAATTTGCATTTTTAAACACTTCTTTCATTATTCCCAAACACAAACCAATTACCATGTGAACATGTGATATACATATTGGTGATTCTTATGAATCTTGAACCAGCCAGAATGCAAGATGATTCGATGCAAAATAATTTTTGATCACATGAAATAGATATGTAATGGGTTTGTCAATGCTGCTTTCTGAATTGGTTTCAAAATTTTAAACCACATACTGATCAATTTGTATTTTTATTTAGAAAATTTATTTAGTCCGCCAATCAAACTTCTCCTGTTTTGCAGACTAATTTAATATGATGGGATAATGTAACAAAAGTTATGAATTGTTCACAAAGAATAAGGGTAATTTTGAATTTACAAAGTTAAAAGATATTTATATAGAATTCCGATATATCATTGATAGCAGTACATGTATTTAAAATAAATAATCATAATATTATAAGAAATTCTGAAAACATAAAGAAACTAGCCGTATAAAAAACTGCTCAAAATCAAACTTTTTCCGTAAAAATAAAGTAAAAAATCTAATTGCCAAAAATTAGTATAGTTCTTTCTGTCTCAGTGATATATTGAGTGAGCAAATCACTTTTTGCTTTTTTTTTTTTTTTTTTTTTTCCTTTTCATTAGTTAAATCCCCCTATTAATATATAGGAATACGGTTTTATACGGTTATATTTTATACTACTAGAAAAATATACAATTCAACTTTACCTTTTTATTTAAATTACAATACCTTTTTACTTTTTTTCTTCTGTATCAGGAAATCGTTCAGCTCTAATATTGAGTTGCCTCCAAACAACATAAAATACGTTCCAAAATTTGGTTTTACAGATTTTTTATGTTCATCAGACCTATCAACTTGGGTTGCCTCTAAATAAGATAATAGTTGTTTTCTCATTTTGAAAAAATAATAATAATAATCACAGACTCTCAATTACAATTGTCAAATGGCCAGAATCCTCTTTTTGAAATAGGTCTGATTTTGTATTTAGGGTAAAGTACAGTAATACCCCATGAGGTTTGCCAAAAGCACATTCAGATGAAACTTACCCTGTTTTGGGACAATGACATCCCCTGATAATATTTGCAAGCCAAACACAGCCTTAAAACATGTAAAAAGTCAACATTACCATTTACTATTTTAATTAAAAAATATTAAAATAATTAAATGACCAAATTACCCTCAACACCCGATTAATCCTACAACCAGATTCTG